ACATCGGGGGCCTCAATGTCCACTTTGGGCCCTTTGATGTCCAGTTCGGGTCCTTTCAGGTCACCCTCGAGTTTGGGGATGGACACGTCCACGTCGCCCTTGACCTTGGGGCCCTTCAGGCCAAAGTCCACGTCCGGCATGGAGATCTTGGGGCCCTTGAGGTGCATCTCGGGCATTTTGAACTTTGGCCCTCTGATCTTCCCCTCTGGGAGGTCAATGTCCACATCAGGAGCTTCAATGTCCACTTTGGGCCCTTTGATGTCGATGTCCGGGGCTTTCAGGTCCCCCTCGAGTTTGGGGACAGAGACATCGATGTCCCCCTTGACTTTGGGTCCTTTCAGGTTGAGGTCGATGTCCGGCATGGAGATCTTGGGGGTCTTGAAATGCATTTCGGGCATTTTGAACTTGGGGCCCTTCACCTTCCCCTCGGGCAGCTCAACGTCCACCTCTGGACACTCAATGTCCACTTTGGGGCTGGACACGTCCACGTCCACCTCGGGCCCTTCGGCCTTCACCCCGGGCATCCCAAATTTGGGCATTTTGAATTTGGGCATCTTGAATTTCCCCTCAGGGCCGTGAATGTCCACATCGGGGGCCTCAATGTCCACTTTGGGCCCTTTGATGTCCAGTTCAGGCCCCTTCAGGTCACCTTCCAGCTTCGGACCGGAGATGTCCACGTCGCCCTTGACCTTGGGTCCTTTGAGGCCAAAGTCCACGTCCGGCATGGAGATCTTGGGGCCCTTGAGGTGCATCTCGGGCATTTTGAACTTTGGCCCTTTGACCTTCCCCTCCGGACACTCCAGCTCCACGTCCGGCAGGTCAATGTCCACTTTGGGCCCTTTGACGTCGATGTCCGGGGTTTTCACGTCGCCCTTGACCTTGGGGCCTTTCAGGCTCAGGTCGATGTCCGGCATGGAGATCTTGGGCGCTTTGATGTTCATTTCGGGCATTTTGAACTTGGGGCCCTTCAGCTTCGCCTCCGGACACTCCAGATCCACGTCCGGCAGGTCAATGTCCACTTTGGGCCCTTTGATGTCCAGGTCAGGACCCTTCAGGTCACCCTCCAGTTTGGGGACAGAGACATCGATGTCCCCCTTGACTTTGGGGCCTTTGAGGTTCAGATCAAAGTCCGGCATGGAGATCTTGGGCGCTTTGATGTCCATCTTGGGCATTTTGAACTTTGGCCCTTTGACCTTCCCCTCTGGACACTCCAACTCCA